AAATAAATCACCCCTGAGTTAAGTTCTTTTTGGAGGGAATCCCACATAGCCCAATTCCTTAAGCATTCCTCCCATCTGAGTTCTGCAAGTTTCTTATGAATATCCTCTATTTTCTTGGTTGTGGCTGTTTGAATGAGCTGCTCTATTTGAGTAAGCTGAGTCTAGTCTCTTTAATCTTTGCTTAAAATTTGTACATTGGAGTTCATGTATGGCTCTTGTTCCAGGCAGAGGTCACCACTGTTTGAATACATTCCTTCAAAAGCCATCTACTGTCAAAGTAGAATCTTTTTTTGTTTGGCTTAGTCTCTGGATTAGTGTTGAAGAGAAGGAGACTGTGGTCAGAGGAGCTTTTGAAGATGTTGGAGACTTGTGTGTTAGGGTATAAGGAAATCCACCCGATTGAGATAAACACTCTATCCAGTTGTTCTTCAACATAACTTTAGCCTTGCTTGTTGTTTCCCTATGTGAATTTGTGTCCACTCCATTTAGTGTCCATCATCCCCGTGAGAGAGATGAAGTTGTTGAAAGCCATAAAAGAAGGAATGGATCTGGATAAGCCCCTTTTTTTTTTCCTCTGGTGTGGTGATGTCATTCCAATCACCACCTATGAACCAATAGTCACCCCAAGACTCTTGTTCTTTGAAAAGGTAATCCCGTTGCAGGAGTCTGATTTTGCCATCTGTACTGGCATACAAGAAGATGCCCCAGCATACTTTGTCCTTCTCTTCATCCCAGAATTCAACTTGAATGCAAAAATCAGATTTAATAATTTTAAAAATATGTACAGAGTCATTCCAAATGAGTAGAAGGCCTCCACTTTTACCTAGAGGTCCAGCGGAAGCCCATCTATCATCAATACCAATGTTTCTACAAACAGTATTAACAAAAGAGTTTTTTTTTTCTTAAAGGAAATCAAAAATAGGCTAGTGGAGTCGCCAAGACTACTTCAGTTGGGGAACTGTAGAGGGCCCACCCAGACCTCTACAGTTCCACAACAGAACTCTCATTGATCACCTTGTGGCCCTTAGGGGCTGGCCACCTTCACCCTTGTAGTTTGGACTTTTTGTTTCTTAGGAGCCTAAATGGTCTCAAGAGTAAGCAGAGAGTGTTGAGTAAGAGCCTCATCTTGGGAACTGGCTAGTCTTTTGGTTTTAGAAGAACCTGAAGTAGAAGATGTAGTGATATCTTGATTCACAGCTGATAATCTTTTCCATTTCTTACATTTGACTGGGGTAGGTTTTGGGTCAGGGCAGGTTAGAGTGGATTGAGGGGAGTTATTTTGATGAGAGGAGATATTTTGTGGAGAAGTGACAATGGGGTTAAGTTCCAGAGTGTCCATTGGTTCAGGGGAAAGAGGAGGCTGAATAGGATTAGGGTAGTGTTGAGAAGTGGTTTGGTGTAGTGTTGGTGTAGGAAGTATGGATGAGGGAGCTTCAAGTATTGTTAAGGTATTAGGTTGGTTGTTTTGTTTAGGAAGGGGTTTATTGCACGAAATCCCCCTGTATTATATGAAATCTGCGCGTTTTCCCTTGGTATTTTAAAAATTGCGTCAAACCCCCTCGTATTTCATATTTGCATGCACACTCGCTATTTCCAGCTAACGCCGTTACTTTAAAGCTGACAGCATTACTTTTTCATTGAATTTACGTTTATACCCTTACTTTAACATTGAATTTACTATTTTACCCTTAATGTTAATATATTGACCTAAAAGAAAAATGCCAATGGTGGGGATTGAACCCACCACCTTTAGGTTGTAAAAGACAACTCTTACCAATTGGGCTACTATTCACTTAATTATATATGTAATTTTATCTATATATATCACAGTATAGCGGAAATATCATATAATTAAGTATATAGATTCTAAATTATAAATATCATAATAATTAATTATATAGATTCTAAATTATGAATAATATTATAATTAATTATATAGATTCTATATAATGTAATAATTAAGTATATAGACTCTAAGTTATAAATAATATAACCATTAAGTATATAGATTATAAATTATAAATAATACAATAATTAAGTAAATATTTTCTAATTTATAAATAATATAATAATTAAATAAATATATTCTAAATTAAAATAATATAATAATTCGTTATATATATAAATAATACAACGATGAAATAAATATATTTTAAATTATAAATAATATAATGATCGAATAAATAGATTATAAATTCAAAATAAAATAATTATTAAATAAATATAAATATATAATAAGTAATATATTGATTCAGTAAATATAATATAAAATATAAATGATATAATAATTAATAAAATATATTATAAATTCTAAATAATATAATAAGTAAATGAATAAATTTCAAAATAATGAATAAATAGATTCTAAAGTATAAATAATATAATAATTGAATAAATTATATTCTAAAGTATAATGATAATTATAAATCATAAATAATATAGTAATTCAGTATATAGATTTTATGATAATTGAATGAATAGATTCTAAAATAGAAATAATATAAATAATTAACTAAGTATGTTCTAAATTATAAATAATATAATGATAATTATAACTTATGAGTAATATAACAATGCACTATATATTTTTTTATAATAATTGAGTAAATAGATTCTAAATTATAAATAATATATTCTAATGTATTTACTCAATTATTATAAAACAAATTATTGAATTAATATATTACTTATAGTTTATAATTATAATTATATCTCATAAAAAAGGATACTTGATATTTTAATTAATAGTGTTTTACATAATGAATAGTATTTTTTATTTATTATACATTTACCTGAATTTAAAATAAACATAATGAATAAATAATAAGTACTTAAATTATTTATTACAAATTCAAAAATAATAATTTTATTGAAAAAATTAAATATATATATTTGTCGAACATTTAAAAATAATAATACAATATAACAACTAAATAAAAAAAATAAATACAAATCATATGTAGCTATTGCATAGAAAATATTTTATTTACAAATTACTACTTTCATAATATATTATATATAGAAGTATAATTTTATTTTATTATAAATAAATTTTATTTTATTTTATTTATTTTTATTAATATAATTCAATATAAAAATGTATATTTAAATTTAATTTTATAATTTATTTCATATTTATATTTTTTAATTTTTTATATGAATTTATCTTTTTGTTTTTATATTAAATAGTAGTATAATTATATATTATTTTCAAATTTTACATTAAATTTTATTCAATTTAATTTTTATTTTATTTTATTTTTATTATATTTTCTTATATCACATTATTTAGTGGTTATTTTATTTTTTAATTTTTGTTTGATTAAGTTTTCCACTGTTCGTGTTGTTTAAATGAATCTGTGTTAAATATGTATCATTGAATGATGGTGGCCAAGTGGTTTGAAGTCTTGTCTATTAATGTTTTGGCCCAGGTTCGAATCCTAGAAGCAGCAAAACATTGAATCCTAGAAGCAGCAAAACATTTTGTCCATCAATAGGTAGAAAAACAAGGGCAAAATAGTAAATTTTAATTTTAAAATAAAAAATAAATGAAAAAAATAAATAATTATCGCAGTACATGTATGTGTGTTACACGCGCCGTCAAGTTGGACGGAGAGGGGAGTATTGTGCAACAGTTACTTAATACAAAAAAAATAAATAATTATCGCATTTTGTCCATCAATAGGTAGAAAAACAAGGGCAAAATAGTAAATTTTAATTTTAAAATAAAAAATAAATGAAAAAAATAAATAATTATCGCAGTACATGTATGTGTGTTACACGCGCCGTCAAGTTGGACGGAGAGGGGAGTATTGTGCAACAGTTACTTAATACAAAAAAAATAAATAATTATCGCAGTACATGTATGTGTGTTACACGCGCCGTCAAGTTGGACGGAGAGGGGAGTATTGTGCAACAGTTACTTAATACAAGGGGGAGAGGGGAGTATTGTGCAACAGTTACTTAATACAAGGGGGTTTGACGCAATTTTTAAAATACCAGGGGAAAACGCGCAGATTTCATATAATACAGGGGGATTTCGTGCAATAAACCCGTTTAGGAAGTAATGGAGTGGAGATAGCAGGTGGAGAAGAGTCTTGTGTTTGCAGTGGCTGCTTGTCTTTAGAAGAAGATACAAAGGGGCTAGGTTGAAGGGGATTTTTGCTGACCTTGACTTGGGTGTGCATATGGGGGTTATCTGATGCGGAGCTGGAATTACTAAAAGTTGCTAATGAAGCAGGGTTGTCAGGAGCTTGGAGCCAATCACCATAAGCTCCATCAGCCAGTTTTCTGGCACCAAAGTCCTGAGTTCTATTTTCACATAATTTATCTTGATGCCCAAGAATTCCACAGTATGGACCTCCTAGCCTTTCATATTTGAGATCAGCTACAATCTTTTTTGTCCTAGCTGGAGAGAGACAAATCGAAGCAGGGGTTGCTCCACGTCGATAGTGGCTAGAAGTCTAATGCATTTCCCAGCAAGCATACCAGTATGAGGCACCAAGACATCTTTGACAGCTAAGAAAGCTTTCCCAATTTTAAGGCCAACCTCTGCAGAAATCCAGTTGATGGGAATGTTCCAAGCTTGAATCCATATGTCCATCTGCTTTAAATCAGAGTGATTAGGATTGATATCTTCTTTCCAATCTTTGTGAATGAGGAATTGGTGATCAAAGACCTAGGTAATTCCTTTAGATACTTTCTGTTTATCTTCTATCTTGTCAAAGATGAACTGGAAGAAATTATTTTGCAGTTCTCTGATAAGAACTGAGCCGCTAATTTGCCACATCTGCGAGAGAGCTCGTTTGAGGCCGGTCAAGTGAGCTTTTTTAGGCCCTAATAGTTACCGAAGAGACTGCGATTACATTCATCCAGCTGATTTGGATATCGTCCGATTCAATAGGGATGATATTTGCTTCTTTATCCGAGAGATTAACCGCTCCTAGTTTTCGAGCGATATCGTCTGCCATAAACACTGAGATTGGTTGAATCGGGTGTGAGCAAGAAGTCCTGCACTCAAAGAGAGGGGGAAGACAGGGGAAAGAAGAAGGCAACAATGGAAATGAAAGTAAAAGAGAAACCCTAGAATAGGGCCGAGAATAAGGGATATTGCATTTGAACGAACATTAGAGCGATAGGTTAGAAGGATAAAACCTGGGAGACGGAATACACAGCCAGATAGGGAGAATCAAGCCTACACTGAGAGGAATCGTCTTCGCGAAGAAGGATGAAGCTCTCAAGGAGAGATTATTAAATTTAGTGAAAGCAAAATGGTGTGTGGTGGGGGTGGTCTTTTTTTCAAAAGTTTTTTTCTTTTTGAATAATTCCATTCTGTTGTGAAAGTGCGCATGCACACCGCGTGCAGATTTTTTTAATATATGTGAATGACTATTTTGTCCCTAATGTAATTGTATTATTACGATTGTACCATCAGAAGTTTTCCTATAAATAGGGACTTCAGTTGTAATGAAAAATATACCGAAACGAATACAGTTTCTCTATTCTCTATAGTTTCAATTCTCTCTAGTTTTATAACACGTTATCAGCACGAGCGCTCTACCTGGTCAGAAAGGTAAGAATATAACAATATATATATACGTATATGTATTACATAAAATTAATATATGATACTATTTACATATTACCATTATTCTTGACAAGTTAGGCTCTGCCACAGTCAAGAGTATGTGGTATGAATATACTAAATATGACATTATTTACCATTATTCTTGACAAGTTAGGCTCTGCCACAGTCAAGGATATGTGGGAAGAATATACTAAATATGATATTATTTACAGACTACCATTATTATTGGCAAGATAGGCTATGCCACAGTCAATAATATGTGGTAAGATGATATTATTAAATTTGCTTATGATTTACTAATTATGAATAATAACTTTAAGTTTTATATAAATAACATTATTACTTATACTTAACACCCACAAATTGGTTTATCCAGTAATGTGGCGTGAGATTTATAACTGCTTATTCTTGTACCCACCAAAAGCTTTATCGAGTAGTGTGTACTGACATTTTTTGTTTCATTACTTATATTCATTAAATTATTTACATAATGGCTCGGAAAATTTTTAAGGTAATATACATGATTAATTAGAATTTTATAATCATGAGTTGATTAACTAACAAACATTATATCATTAATTTGTTCCCAACGGCTAATTAACGGCTATATTGCAACGGTTATTTTATCAATCTATAAATATAACACTACATTTGATATATTAACACTCATTCCAAATACTAATATATATTCTCCTCAAACGAAAAGAAAAAAAATGTTTCATCTACTATTTATAATTACCATTATATTGTTTATTATATACGCTTTGGGAATTTTCACAATGATGTATCATACTCCTGAATTTATATTTTATGTATTAGGTCTTTGTATAATGAGTTTATTATTTGTTCTTCTGTACATTTTGGAGAATTAATGATTGTGTATGTAATTTTTCGAATCTAAGCATTGGTGTTTTATTTTATAGTTATCATGGCAAATCTGGTCAAACTCGAATTTGAAGCTCTTGATATATCTGGAAAAAATTATATTTCATGGACACTGGATGCCGAAATTCATTTGGCTGCAAGGGGATTGGGAGAAACAATAATCTCCCCAAATAATTCATCAATACAAGATAAAGCTAAAGCAATGATATTTCTGAGACATCATTTGAATGAGGCATTGAAAAATGAATATCTAACTGTGAAAGATCCTGCAGATCTCTGGAAAGCCTTGAAAGAAAGGTATGATCACCAGAAAACGGTGATTCTCCCCCGGGCTCGTTATGAATGGATGCACTTACGCTTCCAGGATTTCAAAACTGTAAACGAGTACAATTCAGCAATGTTCCGCATTTGCTCGGTATTGAAATTATGCGGGGAAAACATAACTGATTACGATATGCTGGAAAAAACGTTGTCCACATTCCACGCTTCAAATGTACTTTTGCAGCAACAATACAGAGCAAAAGGCTTTGTGAAATATTCTGAATTAATTTCTTGCTTGTTGTTAGCTGAACAAAATAATGAGCTGTTGATGAAAAACCATGAATCTAGACCTACGGGATCAACTGCGGTCCCTGAAATAAATACTGTAATATCTAGACAGGGAACTGAAAATAAAAACAGCCAAAATCATGTGCGTGGATATACCTCAGGGCGTGGTCGTGGTCGTGGACGTGGCCGTGGATATGGTCCGGATCGCCAAAGCCGAGGCCACAAATTTCACCGAGGGTATAACTCGGGCCGAGGATACAATCGTGGACGAGGCCGCAACTATGTCCAAAATTATGAAAGGGGGAGAAATTTCCAGCCAAAATTTGAACAGAACAATGTGACGGAGAATAATAATGAAAATGCATGTTATCGATGTGGAAGGAAGGGACATTGGGCACGAAATTGTCGTGTTCAGAGACACGTTGTTGATAATTATAATGATTCTCAGAAATCAAAAGATAAAAATATAGAAACCAATTTTATGGTTGGGGAATCTTCTGAAAATGATGCAGCACGTGTGGATGATGACTATGGCATCGATGACATATTGAAACTGGATTTTGCCGATGCAGTGTTTGAAGACAGAGATGGAAATGACCAGGAGAATAACTGATGATCATGTTTTTTTTTATTGCTTTCTAAGTTTGTTGTATTTGTGTGTGGACTACTTTTATCTGTATTTCGAATTCAATCAATAATAAATGTTGTTTTCTTTTAGATCATGGATCAGTCTCGAATCCAAAATGGAGATATATGTATTGCAGATTGTGCCACTACTCATACTATACTCAAGGACAGAAAATATTTCGTCAACTTGATATTAAATAAAGCAACAGTAAACACCATATCCGGAAACGCGAAGATAATTGAGGGTTCTGGCAAGGCCATATTTTATATGATGGGAGGTACCAAATTTACAATAAATGATGCATTATTCTCCCCAAAATCAACAAGAAACTTGTTGAGTTTTAAAGATATCCGAATGAACGGATACCACGTTGAAACAATGAATAAAGGGGGAGTTGAATATCTTTGCATTAACTCAAACAATGCTGGAAATAAATGTGTTTTGGAGAGGTTACCCGCTCTGTCCTCGGGTTTATATTACACCCAGATTAATATGATCGAGGCTTATGCTGCAACAAATTCAAAGACGAATAAAATGTTTAAACTTTGGCATGATCGACTTGGTCATCCTGGCTCGATAATGATGCGAAGAATTATTGAAAATTCTAGTGGGCATCCATTAAAAAATCAGAGGATATTGCAAACCCATGAATTGAAATGTGCCTCATGCTCTCAAGGAAAATTGATAATGAGACCATCACATACTAAAGTCGAACATGAATCACCATTATTTTTGGAAAGGATTCATGGGGATATATGTGGACCTATACATCCACCTTGTGGTCCATTCAGATATTTTATGGTGTTAATTGATGCCTCTAGTAGATGGTCTCACGTGAGTTTGTTATCCACTAGAAATGTGGCATTTGCTAAATTTCTTGCCCAACTTATTAAATTAAGGGCTCAATTCCCAGATTATACTATCAAAAGAGTCAGACTTGACAATGCTGGAGAGTTTACATCTCAAGCATTTAATGATTATTGTATGGCAGCGGGAATTGATGTTGAACATCCTGTGGCACATGTTCACACTCAAAATGGTCTTGCAGAATCATTGATTAAACGACTGCAGCTTATAGCTAGACCATTAATAATGAGGACAAAACTCGCCACTTCAGTATGGGGACATGCTATTCTGCATGCAAATGATCTAATTCGAATAAGACCAAATGCACACCATACATACTCGCCAATACAGTTGGCATATGGTCGAGAACCAAATATTACACATATAAGAGTTTTTGGTTGTGCAGTGTATGTACCAATTGCTCCGCCCCAACGTACAAAAATGGGGCCTCAAAGAAGGTTGGGAATATATGTTGGATATGATTCTCCATCAATAATCAAATACCTTGAGCCAAAAACGGGTGATGTTTTTACAGCTCGGTTTGATGATTGTCATTTTAATGAAGAGTTGTTCCCCCCCTTAGGTGGGAATGAAAAATCAATTGAGAAACATATTGAATGGAAAACATCATCAATATCATATCTTGATCCTCCCACCAAACAAAGAGAGCAAGAAGTTCAAAAGATCATACATCTGCAGAATATTGCGAATCAACTACCTGATGCATTTACTGATTTAAAAAGGGTGACCAAATCACATGTAGCAGCTGTAAATGCACCGGCTCGAATTGAGATCCCAAAAGAAATGGCAAATGACGATATGCCGAATGAATTAAAGACACGCTTAAAACGAGGAAGACCAGTTGGGTCTAAAGATAAGAATCCTCGAAAGAAAAAAGAATTTCATGACTCGAGTTTGAAAACGAATCCAGATGATGGAAGAATTTCGGGACGAAATGAAAATATTGAAATGTCCATCAATTACGCAAACAATGGGGATCTTTGGAAGCGTGATGAGGTCATAAATATTGATGATGCATTCGCATATATGGTATCACAAGAAATTGACAAAGAGGTTGAAGATCCTGAACCAAAATCTATGATTGAATGTCAGAAAAGACATGATTGGGACAAGTGGAAAGGTGCTATTCAAGCCGAGTTAGATTCACTTAATAAACGGAAGGTTTTTGGACCTATTACCATTATACCAAAAGACATAAAACCTATTGGATACAGATGGGTTTTTGTCAGAAAAAGAAACGAGAAAAATGAGATCACAAGATATAAAGCTCGCCTTGTAGCACAGGGATTCTCCCAGAGGCCTGGGATCGATTATGATGAAACTTATTCCCCTGTTATGGATGCAATTACCTTCAGATACTTAATCAGTTTAGCCATCCATGAAAACCTTGAGATGCGTCTCATGGATGTTGTGACTGCTTACTTATATGGATCACTGGACGCTGACATTTACAT